TGGCAGAATATTGGCATTCGGCACAGCTGCCAAGTGTTTGCTAAGATGGGGCTGACCATCAAAAGCTTGAATGCGGCTTTCATCTGGCACCTTGCACCTTTTCATATTTAACACTTCTGTGCTGTAATACAGCATGGAGACGGCATGATCCGAGAGCAGATGGCACTGATTTCAAAGTCAGTGGGAACGTAATTATTTCTGAAAATTAAGCCAATCAACTGCAGTACTGTGCAAAAGTCAGAAACCACCCTTTCATTTATTTCATTTCCAGTCAAAACAGCCCCTAAGTGCAAGTTATTTATTTTTCGCTTTCAAAAATAAACAGAAAACAAACGCTGAACAGAAAATTATACAGAAATCTCAAAAACTAAATATCAAAAATTTCAGAGTTTAATATGTACACACTTCACCTTAATTATAGCTTTCATTCTGTCCAGGAGACATGCTTTCAGCTCACTTTCAAAGAAATCTGCAGAAAAATATAATTTTATATTTAAAAAATTTAAACTCATCACTTCATAAAACATTACTCCATGTCTCAGATGTCCAGTTTGGTTGTTTTTAGTTGTAAACTTTGGAAACTTTGGAAAACTTATGTCTATTTCTTTCTCTCACTAACAGCTTCTTGACAGCTATACATCCTTTCAGAGCCACTGTACTGAGTTGTTTTGCTCAGAGGACACATGAACAGAAACACCGTCATTTTTTTAGCAAGAGTGGAGCTTGATGTTCTCCTTTCACACGTGAAAGCTTTAAGTACTCTATCTGATAATGAAAGTTTTGATCTTGCATGGTTTGTAAACTGAATATTCCATGTATAGTCAATTTTTGGAAAGTCCTGTATTGTTGCTTAATTTCCTTTGACTTTCCCCTTCCTTATGCAAGTCAAGTCAGGTCAAGTGGTCTTTTATTGTCATTCCTCAATGTAACATATATACACTGGAACAAAATGCTATTTTTCTGGTTCAGATTATATCTAACCTCCTGAGACATATCCTGAAAAATGAATAACTTGTATTTAACAGCTGGTTTGACTGAAAATTAAATAAATGAGGTTTAGGTTTGACACAGTACTGTAAAAAGTAAGTGATTTGTGCCAGTGGGGTATGATTTAACCAGAGCCAAGCATGTACATTTTCCATGAATGGCTGATTCGGCCATGGAGGCTTTTCCAATAATTCACTCATGTAAGGCAGTCCACTTTAGCAGCAGTTTCAGATAGCATTACAGGAAATGACCGCTGCTCTCTGCACTTCTCTTGCTCTTTGCTGGATGAGCTGCCAAGTTGAAAACGGAGACCTGGATGTTTACAACGACATGAAAACTTTGGCCATCGTAAACACCACCTCCATGCCGACAGTCATTAACTATTTATACGGTGGGTGCAACACTGAGTTACATATCCACTAGAGAGGTTGTGTTTGTGTATGTGTGGAGGAGGGGTGTGTGTGTGTGTGTGTGTGTGTGTGTGTGGAGGGGGCGGGGTTGTGACAGTTATTGTGAAGTAACATCAATCCTGACTGCGACAGATTGTGCGCAGCTTTTTGGTTTAGTCAGTAGTAACTAAAAGATAACCAAACAAGATTAATTCCTCCTCCAGTTGCAGGCTTCACACCGGCACTAAAACAGCATTAAATTGTATTTTGTGAGCGTAAAACACATTTCAGAATGCCGCATGTGCGTCAGTAATCTCTTTTCAAAAAGTATATTTTCCACATTGCCTCACACATAAAACCCCCCTGATAACCCACTTCCAGTCTATCTAGGCTGCAGAAATGAAGCATATGGGTGAGCATATTGAGGGACTGTGGAGGGAAAACCCAGCGTATCAAACTAGCCATGCGTTATAGCACATTTAAAATATAAGCCTGGTAGCCACAGGGGAGGCTGGCCTCGCTGCTGTTCAGCTCCCTGGCAGGAGGACAAGTCTCGCTGCCCATTTTTTTTGCTCCAGACTCCAGTTCTATATTTAGCCAGGCTTTCCGCTGGTATGCCTCTGTGATCGTTAGCCCCGTTTAACCCCTCTTTACAACGGGCCCCATATTGGTCAAGGCCTGTGGAGGCCCCCGTCAGTAGGGGCATGTCGAGCTCTTTACATGCGCCTGTCAGACACGCACGAGCCGTCCAGGACTGGGATCAGTGTGGTGCTGTAGAAGGCGTGCGCAAGGAGCAGAGTTTTCACTGATGAAGTCTATGCTGCACTGCTATAGACCATTCAAAGCCTGCCTCAGCTTTACCATACATCAGGCAAAATACATTTTCAAGGATTAACCTGAAAAGATAAGAGCGTCCGAAGGTGTTTGCGTTTGATGTTTAAATTTACAGTGATTCTGTTTTGAGAGCGTTCGAGTGTGAATCACTCGCCATTGTGCTTACCAAGACCCCTGACTCCAATTTACTCAACTAAAGAAAAACAGTACACACAAATGAGTCTTTTTTTTCAACCACTGAAGAGAGGACGTTTTAATACATTAGCATTTTACGCAAAAGCCTAAAAATAGTCTGGTCCCAAGGCTACTTAGGGACACTCAGATTCTGACAAAAACAGTAATAGCTGACTGTTACTGCAGGTATGAACTATGGTACAAACACTGAATATTAACCTCTTAAACTGCAAGGGCAAAATTCAATTTCTCAATCTCATAACTACATAACACATTATACACATATTATAATCACACATTATATTCATAGTAGTTACTGAATACTTTACAGTAGCTCTTGAGTAATAAGTTTATAATTAAAGGACTGGTTTGGCCAAATATGAAATGTATATAATTTTCTGATTATCCCAACTGTGGTCAATCAGCAAAGACATGTTTGGTGTTGCAAAAACTGATTCTTTAGCTGTGCATTTACATTTAGTTTAGCTATTTAGGCTAATGAAAGCCTAAGTTTAGTTTAAGTTTAAATAATAAACTTACAGTTTAACCCTTAAGGCCAACATGAAAAAGTGGCCATTTCTGTGATTGTATCTAGTCTTTTCTGCAAATCAAATGATTTCTGAATGCTGCTGTTGCATTTGTCTGATATGTAAAGAATGTGAGCTAACAAAGCCAAAAATGTGAAGATGTTTGTTCTTTTTAAACAAGAATGTATGAATAGGAATACAAGTAACACATCAGTCCTGCCTTTCGCAACTATTTGATTAAACAAATCAATAATAAGCACTTACCGACTGGAACTGCTCTCTGAATGAACCTGCATGCTCTCTCGGAAAGAGAAAGAAAAAAGGCCTCGTGCATCTTTTATACAGTGATAAAAAAACAGTAGTGAACAGAAATCTCTGTCCCTTCAGGCTGAAATTGACAAAAATGATATTCCTGTTGTGAACAGCATTTTTTTTGAGGGGGGGGTAGGGAGGCTACTGAGCCCATCTGGTTCACACGGTCAAGGGTTACCGCTAGCATTATGCTATATAGGATAATATAACTCACCCTGCATAGCGCTCTTTACATGCAGAATGATCTAAGTGAGAGTGATGGCTACACTGTGGAGTGCTAGACTTGTGTGCGTTAATGTGAGCCTGAGTGCTAGAACATTCTCCCAAGGGCAGACAGCCGGGACTGTTGGGAGAGTGAGGAGTCGGAGCATGGCAGGATCCTAATATACCGAGGGCCGCATGCATCACCACATCACCAGCTCTCTACCCCTTTACCCCACTCCTCTCTCACCCAGCGGCCCAACAGCAGAGGTCATCCTGTGCGGGACAGTGTTGCAGCATCACGTCAGCACATACCCCGCTCTGGTGCCAACCCAACGCAGGCAGAAGCTGAAACCTGAGAAGGCTTGCTGTAGCCGAGGCTAAATAAAGCGGTGTGGGCTTTCACACGTCACATGGAGGTTTCCTTCACGCAACTTCGTTATTGTGGGGACACTAATAAACAAACATGCCCGGCCAAGCTTGACCACTGCTATTCCATTACTGCATCCCATAATTCTCTCCTTCGCACTGACAAGCAGCTTTGGGGGGCGAACTCATGAGCGTCAACTGCCTCTCCCCTTCATCGCCCAAAGAAAAGACTGGCTGGCCTTTCCAGCCTTTTCCAGTAAGTGCTCATCTATCGGCCTGCGTGCCAGTGAAGATTCCAGACTCCACACACACATGACCATGACTCAAGCTTTATCTGTTTATAAATACTCCAGCCTATCCCATTGCCTAACATTCGCTCATGTAAACACCTTTACGACTTACAACCCTAGCAAACAAATATGCAATACAGTTTGAGATATATCATGGGCCCTTATGAGGCTGGAATGCATCCAAAAAAGGGACTCACTGAGGCATGTGCATTAATGATTTTAATGTGAATGAGGTGTGCGTGACAGTGGTGCAACCAGGATGTCATCCTGGGGTGGGAATTTGGGTATACAGAGTTCCAAACATATCCAAATGCCCAACCCAACAGTAAAGTTGTGGTCAGTGTAATCTCAGAGGGGGTCTTGAGGGAGAAGAAGGGTAATTGGGCTGTAATGCAATACAAAACTAAAAATGTTCATAACTAAGCAGGTTTGTTAGTGATAATGCACTATGCAAAGTGATACTGAGCTTCATTACTATTTAGAATATAATTTATGAACACTGCTTATAATGCATAATGTTCATTCATAAGGCATTATGAACAGGGCTATAAACATTTATAAAAATGCTTTACACTTTACAGCCATGTTTATTATGCATTATGAATGTACATACTGTATTATAAGCAGAGTTCATCTGACTCCTCACTCTCCCAACAGTCCTGGCTGTCTGCCCTTGGGAGAACGTTCTAGCACCCAGGCTCACATTAACACTCATCAGTCTAGCACTGCATGGTGTAGCCTTCGCTCTCACTTAGATCCTTCTGCATGTAAAGAGTGCTGTGTGTGTTTAAAATATTTTGGAAGAGAAAAACAAAACTTTCTTCCTCTCCACAAATGTTCCTTTGGGGGGCAGGTGACCTTTTGGGTGGTCCTGAACTTATGTCCCCAGCCAGCGGGTATAGGTGTCATTGTCTTACCTGTGTGGATCTGTCGGTGTGCTTCTAGAGCATCTTCCTTCTGGAACTGAGCTCCACACTGGTCACACACGATGGCCTTCTCTCCAGCTGTACAGAAAAAATAAGACAATTTTCAACCCACAATGCATTAGGGCAGTAGGAATGAAGCCATAATTCAAAATATAACAGTAATGCCAAAAAACAACATGGTTACCAAGGACAACCACCCCCTCCCCCCTAAACCTCCAAAAAAGAAAAAAAAAAACTGCATCCCCTCTATTAGTCATCCTTCTAGAATGTGGATGTGCAAAAAGTGTTGCAATGTCCATCCAAACACAGGAACTAGCGCAGCACTCACTGGCCTGAGTGTCTGATCAGAGGGAGGGGGGTCATCTCAGGTCAGAGCCTTCACATTGTACTACATTCATTGACTCTGGCGCAGGTGTGGCTAGAGCTGAGGTGGAGCTTTCTTTTTACAACACGGCCCAGTGTATTCACAACACCATATCCCATAGTTACAGCACCTCAGCAATCAAAACAGGAAGTCATAGTTAAGATTAAACAGTGCGATGGAGATGAAGTGAGGGCCCCGTTTCGCAACCATTGTGAAGTTACAAAACATACTGTACTCTCGTCAGAGACAGGAAGAGACACTTTTCATCTTTCACTGGTGGAATAGGTGGTGCAATAACACGTTCTGCTTTATGCACAAAACTCCCTTTTTAAACTGGTCAAAAGATGTTGCGCTATCAGTGCAGAGCAATATTATTAAAAGGACTTGGCTGCAGGTCAGTAACTTAGTTTTAAGCTATTGTTGTTTTGCTATGTTATGTACACAAGCAAATTACATATTTAGCATTAGTACTGAAATGCATTTATTCAATTTAAATTCTATTACTGATAGTTTTGAGTCTGCACTTTCAAATTGTTTCTATGCCAGCTTGTTTCCAATTTATATATTTGCCAAACAAGGACAAAAGCATGGCTAAAATGTAAAGGATCCAGAAAGTATGCACAACAGTAAGTTCCCTTCAAATTTAAATCACAACAAAAAGTCCTATTTAACCTATGAAAACAAATGTGGCACTGATTAAAAGTTTAAAATCGAGGCTTTCAACAGAAATTCTCCAATGAGCTACAACTGGGAAATAATTAGTATACAATTTAGAGCTGTCACTATCGATTATGTGAGTAATTGACTAATCTGGTAATTCTCTTGATGATTATTCGAGTAATCTCTTTTTTTTTTCAACAAAACATACCCTAAAAACAACAAAACTTAATGCTTTTTAAGACATTTTTACCACCACTTGAGTAATTTTGAGAAAAATATAATGCTGAAATAGCAGTGTTGAGTGCAGAAATCTCTTTATTTGTAGCCTGAGGACCACTGCTACAAAACTGCAAACCTGATAGGAATTTCAATGCTATGTTAGCTATACTGTATTATCACTAACAATCCTGGGTTTCATACTACTTAGGCCAGCTCTACTTAAGCACTAACATCTGAATTATATAAATCTTGTAACAGGCATTCAAGTGGTATATTCCACACTGTGTATGTTGCAGTTTTCTTCATATTACTGGAGTGGTTCAGCCTAGACTTTCAAATATTTCACTTACACTTTTGCTTTGTATGCATTCAATTTATAACACCAAACATCTCATTTTACTTCATATACATGAAATTTGTAACAACAAATATACAGGCATTTGTGACATTCTGCTGGGGTGGGTTTCCTCTTTTTCAATGACACACACAAAAACTTGAGTGCAAATAGCTCTCCCTTGTGAAGAACCTGTTTATCTAAGCCAATTCATTGAGAACGTATTTGTGACAGCCCTTATATAATTACACTATGCTTTAGCAATCATCGATGATAGTGTTAAAAAAACAAAAAAAACAGTCACTATAGGCATGCATGTCATGACCACATGGCAATGTTAGTCACTTGAGAGTGGCGGGTTAAATCAGAAAACAGTTTCAGAAATGAGAAGGCCACCTCTGAACCCAAGCATGGGTTGTGCAATCCACCTTGATTTTTATCGATCAGCTCATATTATAATTATACTTCTATCATCTGGATTTGCCAGTTGAGTGCCAAAATTAGACCTATACAATTCAGCAATTTCTCCCACAACCTCCAGCTAGTTGTGCAAATGGGGGAGGGAGGGTGGGGGGCGGTGGAAAAAAAAAACGCAACGTAGAGAGGATGGTCCCAAAGTGGTGGTGTTGGGGCATGGGGAGAAGAGGGGACAAAACAGCCCCACATCTGGCCATGGGGCAGCCAGGTCCAGGTACTGCAGCAGTAGCCTCAGGTAGGGAGGTGGAGGACATTAATCATCACATTAAGTGGTAGAGGGAAAGCGAGGGAGCAGGACTGAAACCCACCCGCAACACAGGCGTCAGCCTATTGGAGCGGGCCATTATCTCGCAGGGGGTCTATGGCGTCCAGCCACCCAGCAGGAGTGTGCTTTCAAGCCTCTGCTAAAAAGTCATGAAATTAAAGTGATAAATTCTAGCCTTCCCCTTTGATCAATAGGTGCTTTCCTGTTAAGTGAGGATGAAAAAGGGTGGAAGAAAAACACCTCCTTCAGGTTTGGCACAGCGTCTCCTAACTCCTTAACCCCGCTTCATTGTCACCCCTAATTCCCTATCTCTCTCTCTCTCTCTCTCTCTCTCTCTCTGGGCCACAGTGAAAAAAGAGAGCAGAGGGCCAAGGCTAGAAATAACTGGCTCTCCAGCACAAGAAAAAAAAAGAAACAACAGTGGCTATAAAAGAACTGTTTTCTAACAACTCCCACTTCCTTCTCCCCCCCACCTCCTTGGAGTTGCCACAGCAGGGCCGAACCTGACATAATAGGCCCTTACACAACGCGAGGTTCCCAACAAGCGCAGGAGAGGTGCCACGTGCCACCTCGGCCTGTTCCCTTTTCACTTCCCCTCTGAAATATTGCACAACTAGAAGAGAGGGATTTACTGCTGCTAAAGAGGACACTCGGCTGATCACTCATTCTGCAGAAGAGCAGCTTCGAGCTGAAAGTTAAAACGAGGGTTGCACGATACATTGATTTTTAATCGTTATCATGATGCTGGCCTGTTAAAATCACAGAAGGCCACAAAAGGCGAATGGGCCCTCTAAAACATTCTGACTAATCAGATGTTGTTTAGATGACTGAAGGTGTTTGTATGATCAAGCAAGAAGAAATTTAGTCAAAACAACACAGGCCAATCTTTAAACTAAACAGAGTGAAAATTTGACATTTTTGCAATAAATTATCACTCTAGCAATGGAAAAAATGTAGTTTCAGGAGGAGTTAAGGCAACAGTTCAATATTCTGCTTAGAGCTGCACAAAATACCATACTGTAGTGCTTGCACAGAAGACGATATGGACCATGCTGCACGTTCAAGCGAATGCTCTTTTATTTTGAACAGACACTTTAACAGAGGCAGCGAAATGCCTGACTCAGTACTAATCCGGCATGAAACACAGTGATAAACACAGGGGTAAACGGGAGGACACGACATACAAGGCAGACAAGCACACACACAAAACCCACCCTCCTCGGACACAATTTACACTAAGCAACACAACTACACTAAAAACATCATGGGCAACAGCAGCAACAACAACAACATCTTGTTTTAACCAGGAGTGTGGCACCTCCCCAGAGCCACTTTGCATGGCCACACCCTTACACTCCCCACACCTTGGCCATCTTGGTGACCTGAAAAAAGTCTCTGGACTGCATGGAGTCCCGATCTGTCCAGCGTCCTGGCCAGCACAAGTGCTGCAGGGTGGCGCTCCTCAGCAGTGGGTGCCCCAGTCCTCTTTCGAGGCCCTGTCCTTGGTGCAGCAGCTCCCCTGCTTTGGGTGTGCCCTCTACCTCTGACCCTAGTGGGCAGCTGAACACCAGCTCCATGGGCATCCTCTCCACTGGGGCACCGGAGTGGAGGGACTAAGTGGGGTGTGCAACTTCTACAGCAGTTCTTTTTTTGATGTGCACTGGTCACAGCAACGCATGCACAAGTTCCACTGTGTGTCAGCCTAGCCAGTAGAACCTCTGTCACAACTGCTTCAGCGTTTTGCCCACACCAATGTGCCCCATGCCAGCTGCTGCCTGCATCGCACCCAGCACCGTCTTTTTCAGGCTGCATGGCACCTGGAGCTGCCACACACACTTCCCAGGCACTGGCTCCTCTTACACATGGTACATCATCTTGTTGATGCTGCATGTTCAGCTCCTCCAGAGCCAGTGGCTTCCCCCAAGGGGAACGAAGGCCACACTGCCAGGGAGCCCCAATTCTCTACCTCTGCACCTCTCCTAGCCGCTGCAACTAGCTTCACTTGTCCGTTCTCCAAGACCAGTGTTTCCTTCCTGAGGCTGAGCAAGGCCCTGGCCGCTGCGAGGAAGTCCAAACTGAGTGTACCCGCATCCTGTATTGGCGTGAGCCAGAACTGTGCACTCAGCTCAGGCCCCCCAACACGACCGGGAACCTCTTTCTCCCTCTTATGTCAACTCAACTTCCGGTGATGGACTTGGATGGTCGTTGCTTCCCAGTTGGCAGGTGTGCTGCTCTCGGTGCAAAAGAGCAAGCCTGGATGTAGCAGTGACACCGATGAGTCAAAGATGGTAGTGAGCTGTTTCCTATCTATGTTGCACTCGACCCAAAGTTCAGCAATCTTCCTGGCACGCTTCTGTTTCCCCGCTGGCTCATGTTTGTGGCATAGACTGGCACAGTGTCCCCACTTCCTACACAGCTAACACACCAGTCACTTCACCACCACTCGCTCAGGGGCACGTCGGCTCACTGTCTCCTCCTCAAGCTCCTCTGCTGTGTAGCACTGTGTTACTTTCCATGCAACTGTACGCCAAGGATGAGTTCAGCCCTCTCTGCTTTGGTGGTGGCTGCTTAAAGGCTGATCAGTGTGGCGAGTTGCACATGCCGTGTCAGCTCCTCTGGCAGCAGTGCGTTCAGGAAGTGTTTCAGTGCAAAATTTTCCTGTGCAGCCTTCTCTGATGAACCACTGTGCTCAGCTCCACCACCAGCACGCTTATGCGCACTACCTTTAGCCTCCGCCTTCCCAGGAGCAGCTGCCTCTG